ATGAAATATTCGCTATTAAGAAAACAATAAAGGAAAATTGACATAAAAAAAATATATAGCCAAGTGAACTGTCGATAAAATTTTTGCAATAATATAAGTGAAACATTGTATGCTGTATGGATTGACATTGTCCTCGATACAGTGTGCAATATAATAATATATAGCTGTTTTTATTGTATGATAAAATATTTTAAAAATGAAATTATGACTTTCTTTAGAAATGTTGATTCATAAAGATGAAGTTTCGAACAAATGTAATTCAATTCCATTCGGTTCCATACCAATATCTTTATAACCTGTCAAACACGAGCAATAATATTTCACTCCAATATAGGATTTATGTACTCTATATCTTGCACTCGTGCAAACTGCATCAATCTCGTTGTGTGAGAAGTCTATTGTAGTTTAACTATTAGCTATTTATATTTCCATTAGAAAATGCCAGTTTCTACTGGTTTATGACCAGACTGATCATTTTAGAGAGAATCGATGCATATGCAATGGTTTTCATGACTAGTTTGCTTTCCATTTTTAAAATGTTGTTCTAAGGGGTTGCACTGCAACTTCAAATAAAATCAACAATAACTTTTATAGTTAATTGAAGCGCGTCAAAAGCGAAATTCATCAATAATAAATAGTAACGCTTATGTCAATATTTCAACGTTAAATTCAAAAAGTTTCTTAAATTTTACTCTACATCAACAAAGAAAGCTTTCTTTCAAGAATTTTTTCAAACTAGAAGTTATTTAAAATGAAGAATATCTAAAAGCAATATTTATTTTTTAAGATTTGAGAAATATAATTAATAATTAGTATGATAGTCATTACAGTTTGTATAACATGAAGATGAGATGGATACTAACATAAAATAATATCAACTAGGTCAATATTTATTCCCGTGTTTTTATTCAGTTTCTTCATCAAAAAAGATTATGTTCAGTTTTTGATACCTATTTTCCTCAGCTTCAGTTTCAATTACTTTTTCAATACTTCATAATATTCTTCATTTTATATGCTATTTTAGTTCGAACAACGTCATGGAACGAATTTTTCTCGGCTGATATGGTGCAGAATTTTAGAAACTTTCTGAATTCGACATTAGAAAATTACCATAACCATTACTATTTAGCATTGATAAGTCCCATTTTCGACATGCTTTAATTCAGTATAAAATTTCTTGTTGATATTATTTGAATTCATACCGTTACCTCTCTGGAAAAACACTTACGCACCATGTAATAGTATTATTTCAAGGCGACTGAATTAATCCACCCAAGAATATAAATTATCTATTACTTTAATTGATCGATAGAAAACAAAAAAACCATTTCTTGTTATAATATTCAAGTTTTAATTTGTATTATACGTCCACTTTCAAGCTTGCAACTTTCTATAAATCAATAGACTTAGCATATAAACACACAAAAACGTAAGTGCAATTTTTTTACAGAATATAGATACATTTTCCTTATGACAATAAAGAAATTATCTTTTTTTTCAGTATGTATTAAATTGAGATTTTCTTATTCGTTACTGTCTCTACTATGAATCTGTTCTTTTGTGGACTGTGGTTATCTAGTTATGTCACGAGAATACCTACATTCACTACGCTCGGATATGAAGTCTTCTTACTTAGTTATAGTTGTAATGTAAGCGTTCTATGTCGTAAACAAAAATGAAGTATAATTGTGATTATTTCAATCGATTACATTTTCTTACTATATATTGCGTTATATCAGAAGATATTCATAGTGTATTTCTATTGTTTTTTGTTCAAAAATATCAACAAAATATTGAAAACAAGTTACTACTCTCCACTAACGATTTGACATGAGTATTTTCAAAAGAAATCTTTGTGTGGTATAAACGATAAAAATCGAATGAAAAACTTCCTTAAGAAGAATATTGGTATTTTATACTTATCAACTAATAAAAAAAAATATTAAATAATACATCATAATTATAAATAAAACAAAATATGTTTCGTCAATTCTTAATCGATATTTCTTCATGTACATTTTAATTTAATAATTTCAAACGACTTCAATTAAAGTCGTGTTCTCTCAATTTCAACAATAGCTGTTACAGATGGCAACGGTGACGATTCCAATTGATCTTTGAATGAAAGATCAGCAATTGCAGCTTCATATGATGGTGGCGATTCTTCGTATAGACTAGAAATTTGTACAAATGATGGTGGTGGTTCTTCATATATACTAAGAGTTGGTGGAGATAATGATGCAGTATTGACAGTGTAAGTTGAGCCAGACTGAACAACCCGTGATGGTTCTTGTCGATATCGGTATATTATTCTCTGCCTATCCCGAGTCCTTGTAGGAGCACGTGTACGTTGTTGTCGTTGTTTTCGCTTTAAAGTAATGCAACAGCTCAAACATAAACCAAAAAAAAAGACTGACATCATGATTAGAAGAATGATAAGAGCTGTTGGCATAGTAGATGAATATGTTGAAGAAGGTTTTCCTGTTGTTCGAGTAGAAGAGCATTGCATGAAATAAGTTCCACAAGGTTCATTTCCTATTAGAAAATAAGCATAGAAGTAAATGTTTTGTATTTTCTAAAAAGTTTTACTTACTTGAACAGCACCAAGTAAAACGATAGTTAACGCACAGTTTTTCTATATTCAGAATGTATAATGACGGACATCAATTGAGAACAGTAGTGATTTTTTTTATTTTCTTCTTGATAGTAATACTTAGGAAGAATCCGAGAAATGATTTGAGTAGCTAATACAATTCTCGGTCAAGATTTATGAGCTTAAAAACCCTAATAAAACAGCTTGGATGAGAATGTCTGAAAAACCAAGATCCTCTAAAACTAGTATTCTGGCAGCCATTTAAATCTTTTTTGGAAACAGTTTCATTTGATAAAGGGAAACGAGATATGTCTGCTCTCTTCGTCACGTTTCCTTCACTCAATTGCATTCAACTTACAGAAGACCTCAGAATCATTCGTCATTTGCCTTCATGCATTCTCATCCAAACAGTTTTATTGAAGTTTTGTTTAGTTCGCAAATCCTGATTGAAGACCACTACTCAAATATTTTTTTTTCATATTCTTCCTAATTATTACCACCGAGATGGAAAATGAACAATACAACTGCTCTCAACTTTTGTCTGTCGCTATATATATAAGATTTATTTGAATTACTATCTCTAAGATACATACCATGATTGTTACACTGGGTACTATATACACTTGTACATAAAAAGAAAAATAGAATGAGAATAGAAACAACGCAGTTAGGCCATGGACTAAACATGATATGTTTTGAAGATGATATTACTTTTTGAAATGGCTTGACATAACTAAATTTTATCATTCTGTTGCTTAAATGAGAGTGAAAGATGATGACTTGTCATGGACTGATAAGAACACATCACAATTTGACTCACTTGTTGCTTGGTAAAATTTTGACTATGGATATAATATTTACTCGCAGAGAAAAGAACTGATTCAGAACTTTCGAAGGTGTCTCATACATCGGTAGGTAGTTAATGTGTAGTTTTTATATTCGGCGATTTGAAAAGTTCTCTTATTATTTTTACGAATTTAAAAAGAAAAGAAAGGTAAATGGGAAAAAATTAAATAAATTATGTCAGACTTGCTTATAATCAAAAAATCATGACTCAAATGCACAGTAGAATGCAAACGAAAAATTGCTGTTTGACATATTAATTTCGTCGAAGTGTATTTCTTAACTTTCTTGAACGAACACCTTAGAACTATTTCCAAAGGTATAGTAGATAGCTCTGTGCATACAACAAGACTAACGCATCTCTGAAAGTATTGTTGAGTTTCATAAAAAGGAATGCTATCGGAAACCATCCATGTGAAGAAAGTCTCTGCTCATAACATCTAACATACTATTTTACATGAAAATTTAATGGCAAGAACTTTAGGTTACTTAAGTACTTGTGATTAATGATCGAACAAATTGTCTATAGAGAAAAAGTCTGAAATCTCGATGAATTGAAGAAATTCCTGAGCAAAATATGGGATTGAATTAGTATCTAAAGTTTAAGCTTTTTGACCACTTACAATAAAACTAGGTTTGTCGCTCTTATTGATTTACAGAGATAGCCAGTCTTTTATTATTAGTTGTAGCTGCAGACTATGCTATATGTGTAATCTATTGATTAAAAAAAGTTTCACTATTTAGCACATTCAATAGGAGAAATTTTAAAAAATCTGACAGCAATTTTTTTGGTTGCATTCTATTGAATGTAGAACAAATAGTTGACGATAGTTTTTTATCATTCTGAAGTTACCATCGATGTGAAATATTAATAAAGGCATAAAAATTCGGATAAATAATCATTTTACTTTTCAGATTCAATAGTTTGTAGACAAAATAAACAAAATCTACAGAGTAGACATTATCCCAACGATCATAAGGATATGTGCTTTTTATTGACTTATAAAGATCTTATTAAGTTAAGAACTTCTAGAACTTTCAAAAGTGCATCTTCACTGATGGAGCTCTTGGAACCCATGCAAGGGTATGGCTGAGATTTTTGGATCTTAAGACTCGTGGTCACACCCATATTTGAATATTCACAGAAAAGATTGTACCTTATATGTTTGATATCTTGATTCTCTTAATGTAAGATATCACTGCAGGTGTTTAAAATTTGTAGGTAAGCAAAGCATGATGACGTCAATATCATCTGAAATGTTAGCGTTTCTCTGCTGCCTAAATTTCAAAAACTTCTTGAGTTCGTAGGGCTACTTCAATTGTTGGAGTTGTTTGAATTCCGTTAGTGAAATTACACTTTCGAAAGTTCCATAAATTGAGAACACACGGAATCTAGGTATATCTCGACTTTCGGAATACTCATATAATAATATGATAAACTTTTTTATATAACAAAATGCTTTTATTTTTACAAGCTATCAATTAAATAAATCGTTATTGAACAATGTTAGATCAGTTAATTTTTGCATCTTTTTTTTTATTAAATAATTTAAAACGGCTTGAATTAAAGCCGTTCATTTGTTAATTCTATATTTGTTGTTACAAGTGGTGACGATGATGATGTCGCTTGATATTTGGGTGAAAATTCTGTAACTGCAGCTTCATATGATGGTGGTGGTTCTTCATATACATTAGAACTTCGAAGATGTAATGATGGAGTATTGCGATCGTAGCCTGGTCGAATACGAACATTTCGTGGTGGTCCTTGTTGATATGGATATATTGTTTGGTCTATCGAAGTCCTAGGAGAAACACGTGAACGTTGTTGTTGTTGATGTAAAGAAATAAAAAAGCATAAACACATAGCGAAACAAACAATCGAGAGAATGATTATAATAGCGATAATAGCCGTTGACAAAGTGGACGAATATGCTGAAACAGATCTTTTTGTTGTTCGATTATAAGAGCATTGCATAGAATAGTTTCCACAGGATTTATCTTCTATAAGAAAAGAAGCATAGAAATAAAAGTTTTGTATTTTCTAATGAATTTTACTAACGTTGACAACACCAAGTGTTACGATCGTCAGTGCACAATCTTTCTACATTAAGAATACATATACATGTATGATTTATCTGAATTATGATATCGAATATACACACGATAGTTGCTGCATGTTAAACCATATACATTTGTAGATATAAAGAAAATTAAAATAAGAATAGAAAGTATGACGCAATTAATCCATCGACCAAACATGACACTTTGGACACGATATTATTTTATTGGTACACAAAACTGAATTTTATCTTTTTCCTAGTTTTTGATGCTAAAACATGATAAGTCATCATAGATTGATAAGAGTATATATATCATACTTATCATTTTTTTTTCTGTAGGATTTTTATCTATTGACTCAAACAGAATAAAAGTTAATGAATCAGGAAGATTCAGACAACCTTAGCTAGTTCCGTTTTTAAATTTTATATTTGATTCTAAAGATGGGTCATATATTTACTCATACGCCTTTAGAATAAATTACAAATGAATTAATCCGATAAGAATTATTCATAATAATGTACTCGTGATAGAAATATAAGTGTGATAAATACTTTAGTTTATTATCGAATTGCTCATTATAGAAATCTAAATCCTGACGAAAAAACATTCTTCAGTGTCAATATCATTTTGACCTGAAATTCTTCCCAAAGGTAGACCTCGGAAAGCTATGAAAAACCTCTAGTGATTTTGTGCTGATGAATGTTCCTTGTTGACCTTTGTATTGTTCAAGTATTTATATGCACTTGAAAATAACGACAAATGCTATTTGATGATTATTATAAGATAGGAGACTGTAAGTTTTTTTTAGAGTATTATTCAAGTGAAAAAACTCTAGGACATCAAAATTTGATTAGTCAGCAATCTGTCAAAGAAGTGAGGTCATCGTGGACACTTTTAGAAATGGTATTCTGAAGCCATTTTTCTTTCAATTTAGACTTACAATAAAACTCATTAATAGCAAAAAATTTTCGCTTTCGGCCTACGCAAGATCGGCTATTCTAGCTTATTTTGCACTTGAAAATAAGTAGTTTATCATTTGTTTCAATAATACTACTTGAAAAACTTCTGGTTTTCTGTATTACAAAAGTATAATGATCATTGTATTTCAGTATCTATCAGTTCTACACTATTCTCTCAATTCTTCGAGGAAAGAATAACGAGCGATCGAATTATTTTTAAATCTGAAATTTCATCAGCATCAATAAGTAAAAAGTATTACTATATTTTAGAACAACTAAATTCTATACAAAATGCTATACTTACAAAAACTGTTATTCAGCGATCAGTATAAGACGACATGATATGATAGATAATCAAGAACTAATTGTTCATAGTGACCTCTGTATAAATTTCTTATAGGTTTAATCATTTAATTACGAATATTGTCTTTCTATCTTCTTGCTGTTGTGTTTTGTATTGAACTGTACGATTTCATAACTTTAACAAAATGGCTTCATCATCGCATACAGATACAAATACTAATCATAATAATGATCAGCTCATTAAAATTGCTATAGAACAGTGGAATGAATTGAATAAAAAATTAGAACATTTTCCAAAATTTCAAAATAAAAATCAAACAGGTGTCAATGAAGAACATATAAAAGAAATTGAAGCAAAATTAAAAATTATTTTACCTAAAGAAATTCGAGCTGTTATTAAAGTTCATGATGGACGAAAACATATTGGCTATGGATTAGGTTATCAATTAGCAACGACTGATCTTTTACCTATTTCAGAATGGAAACCATATGAAAAAAATAATTATGAATTTGCCGAAGATCTATTTAAATGTCTTGCAAATAAAGATAATGCTTGTGTTAATAAACATTTATATGAAGATGTTCAAGAACATTTAAATGTTTATTTAAAAGATCTTGAAAAAAATCCACAAGGAAAAAATGATAATAAGTTAGCTAATAATGAAACATTTCAATCACTTCCTTGTGAATTATTAATTATTGGACAAGGTTTAGATGATTATGCTGAACAATATTTGTTAAGTGTTCGATCAGGTAGAATTTATTTAGCTATTCATAATATACCTGAATGGAAATTAATTGGAACATTTGCTGATTGGATTCAAAAAGGTTTAACTAATATTAATAAACAAAATGAAGAACTGAAAGAACAACATAAGGAAATTGAAGATTATTAAAATATTTTTCTTTCTTTTTTAATAATCGTTTATTTTCAATAAAAAGAAAATATCTTATATCATAAAAACAGAATGTATCTGACTAAACTTTATCGTCGATAAATTTCAATACCATTATGATCTAAAAATGCTATATTATCTCGACTAATAAGTGTAACATTATATCCATTATGATCAATTTGATTAATAACTTGAGCTTTTTCATTAAGTATTACATATTGACTTTTTTCATTTGTAGAATATTGTACTAACCATTGATTATGATGATTAAGTAATGGTGTTATCATACCTGAAAAAATTTAAATATGAATACGATTATCTCAAAGAAATTAATCATTTACAATAGCATGGATCTATTTCAATCGATAGACCAAATGATGATCCACAGTATAAACGTTGTATAGGACCTATTGAAAACAAATCAACACGCCATTGATTATCACATTGTTTAATTGATAATCCCACTAGAACAAAAAAAAAACACAACAAAACTTTTCTTGATATTCAATTGAGTACATATTGATTAATTACAAATTTGCCTTTGTTCATCAATACGTATAGAACCAATAAATTGATCACCTTTTTCACACATAATATCATTCTTTCGCCATTCTCTTTTTTTTTCAAAAGGTTTTTTTAAATCTCTTTGATACATAATCATATCAGGTTTATGTATTATATATAAATCTATTGAATGACATGCTAAATTCGATAATGTTTTCTTAGATTTAGAGTTTCCATATGGTTGTGATAGACGCTTATTTAATGGATAAAATTCATAAAGATAATATTCAGTAGCAATAAGAAAAACTTGTGTTGTTTGAGACCAACATATATCATTAACAAAATAATCAATTGGAATTCGAGTTATATGCTTATTATCTTCGATAAATACAAGAGAAAAACATGGTTCAGATTGAAAAATAAGTAAATAATCATGATGAAGAGGTGAACCTGACATTGCACCTGGACAATCATTAAGAGAATGTTTATAAAGTGGTGATAGCATGGAATAATTATTGATTAATGTTATCGATTGATCTATTATTAATTGACTATAAGAAAAAAAAAAAAGTTTTATTTCTTTTCTGTATTAGAGAAAATTCTTTGTAATTATAAAAATCAGAACATAATTCAATAATAGGTAATACAGTAATAATCTTTCTTTAATTAATCAGTCAAAACATAGAAGCTTAGATTTGAGGTAGCAATATTTGCATTAAGTCGGTAGTTTGAACTGTTCGATCTGGTTATGGTGATACTCTTAGAGCTTATACCCACATTTCCTGATCGAAAGCATTGTTTTGACTTTTCTACTATATTAAAAGTGTCGGATAGCATTATTATTAATTAGTTTATGTCTTTTTCTCTAAGACTAAGATTTCTTCGGCAGTAGTATGACATTGCCTAGAAAAATAATTGTGTTGATGAAAATAGAAGACATAAAAAAAGTTGTTAGCACAATCTATGCGAGATTAAAATGTAAACGACGATGCAACTGTTGTTGTCAGTCAAAGGAAGCTTGTTTTATTCTATATATTTTAGGACACATTTCTTCAACATTCTTTTACTTAATCCTCTGTGGATTGCAATAAGGAACTAATTAGTTTTTATATTACCGATTGAAAAATATCTTCTAGATATACTATTTTTCTCTGATAAAATTTATTGAGAACAAGCTTATCATTTTTTATCAGAATAATCGAACAGTGTTGTTTGAAGAATTATCAGTTTTATTTCTTTATTCAGAATATATTTCATTTTTTTTTTAATAAGCATAATTAAAACTGTGCTACTTGAGTAAAATTTCTATCATATATGTTTTGAAAAAGATTAAATTTAAGTTTTCATAGTTATTAGAAGAAAAACGTTAAATTTGTCTAGAAATAGTGAGGAAGAAAATTCAAGATTTGAAGTTTAGGTATCAGTTGATGAGTAAATCACTTTTTTTTGTTATAGTATGTATAGAAATATCAAATATTCATCCTCAATAAATCTAACTGATAAAAATGTCAAAATTTTCTTTCAGGAAATTTGTAAAAATTTGATCTACAGTCACAGCACTTCTTCTGGATCATGTTTCACAAAAAATAAAGAAATATAATATAAAATTTGATTTCATCAAAGTGAATTGTTACCCATCATTAGTAATTTGAAGACATGAGAATATTTCTTGAATTGCTTGTTGACTTTGTTCTAGTTGTTGTTCTAATGATTGAATATGTTTCATTTGAATATTATTAGGTAAACGAAGAAGATCTGTTAATGGTTGTCCAATATGTTGTTCAATATTATCTAATTGTATTGAACGAAACTGATCAATATCTATTTGTTTTATTTCATTTGATAATTGAGCTGACATTTGTGCATGTTTCATATCAATTTTATTTTTACATATTTGAGACCATTGATCTATTTTTTCTTGAAAATTATCAATGATTTGTTGATATGTTAATGTATGTAACATTTGTCGTAAATCATTTATTTGATTATTAAGTTGATGTGTTCGTGTTTGAATTTCATGTTGATGAATATCATGATGTTCTAAACATACTCCTTGATTACAATGTGAACAAATAACAATAGCCCATTTACTACATTGAATTTTAGTTCCTGATAAATTTTTAACACTGCAACGACCTAAT